GCCAGGATAGTCTTGATCTCCTGGCCTTGTGATCTGCCCACCTTGGCCTTCCAAAGTGCCAGGATTACAGTGGTGAGCCACCAAGCCAGCCTAAATGATGTTTTAAACATACTGTTGAGTTCAGTTTGCTGGATTTTGTTGAAGATTTTTGCATCAATGTTCGTCAGGGATATTAGCCTGTAGTTTTCTTTTTTTGATGTATCTTTGTGTTGTTTTGACATTAGGGTAATACTGGCCTTAATAGATGAATTTGCAAGTACTCCCTTTTAAATTTTTTTTGGAGTAGCTTTAGTAGGATTCCTGTTAATTTCCTTTAATTGTTTGATAAAATTTAGCAGTGAAACCATCAGGTTCTGGGCTTTTCTTTGCTGGGAGATTTTTGTTACTGCTTCATTACTTGTTTATGGTCTGTTCAGATTTTGGATTTCTTCATGGTTCAATTTTGGTAGATTGTATGTGTCTAGGAATTTATTTCCTAGGTTTTCCAATTTATTGGCATAAGTCATAGTAGTCTGTAATGGGCCTTTGCATTTCTGTGGTGTCAGTTGTAATGCCTCTTTTTTCATCTCCGGTTTTATTTATGTGAGTCTTCTCTTTTTTTCTTAGTCTGCCTAAAGGCTTATTGATTTTATCTTTTCAAAAACAACTTTTCATTTTATTGATCTTTGGTATTGCTTTTTTCATTTTAATTTCATTTATTTCTGCTCGAATCTTTTTTCTTCTAATTTTGTGTTTAATTCACTCTTGCTTTTCTAGTGTTTTTTTTTTTTTAATAAAAAAAAAATAGAGGTGGTGTCTTGTTATACTGCAAGAGCTTATGGAGCTTGAGCCCAGGCTGATCTTGAATTCCTGAGCTCAAGCGATCTTCTTGCCTTGGCCTCCTAAAGTGCTGGAATTACAGGCATGAGCCACCATACCTGGTCACTTTTCTAGTTTTTAAAATGCATTATTAGGTTATTTGAAGTTTTTCTACTTTTTTGATATAGATGCTTATTGCTATAAACTTTTCTCTTAGTAGTACTTTTGCTGTATCCTATTTGTTTTGGTATGTTATGTTTCCATATGCATTTGTTTAAAGAAGTTTAGGCTGGGCATGGTGGCTCATGCTTGTAATCCTAGTACTTTGTGATGCCAAGGTGGGCAGACTGCTTGAGCTCAGAAGTTCAGGACCAGCCTGGGTAATGTGGTGAAACTCTGTTTCTACTAAAATACAAAAAATTAGCCAGGCGTGGTGGTACGCACCTGTAGTCTCAGCTTCTTGGGAGGCTGAGGCATGAGAATTGCTTGAATCCAGGAGGTGGATGTTGCAGTGAGCCGAGATCACACCATTGCACTCTAGCTTGGGTGACAGAGTGAGATTGTCTCCAAAAAAAAAAAAAAGAACTTTTAAAATTTCCTTCTTATTTTGTTCATTGACCTATTGGTCATTTAGGAGCATATTGTTTAATTTCCATGTGTATATATAGTTTCCAAAGTTCCTCTTGTTATTTATTGATTTATAATTTTATTCCATTGTGGTCATAGAAGGTACTTGATATGATTTCAGCTTTTTTGAATTATTTTATTATTTATTTTTATTTTTTTCCTTAACCTACCTTTCAGGAAGATTTTTAAAAATTCTTTAAGACTTGTTTTGTGGCCCAACTTACGCCCTATTCTTGAGAATGATTCGTGTGCTGATGAGAAGAATGTGTATTCTGCAGCCATTGGATGAAATGTTCTGAAAATATCTATTAGGTCCATTTGCTTTACAGTGCAGATTAAGTCCTACATTTCTTTGTTTATTTTCTGTCTGAATGATCTGTTCAATGCTGAAAGTGAGATGTTAAAGTCTCTAGCTATTACTGTATTGAGGTCTCCCCTCTCTCTCTCTCTCTCTCTGTCTCTCTCTTTAGCTCTAGTATTTACTTTATACATGTGAGTGATCCAGTATTGGGTGAATATATATTTATAATTGTTACATCCTCTTGCTGAATTGACCCCTTTATCATTATATAATGACCTTTTTCTCTTTTAAGTTTTTGTCTTGACGTCTATTTTGTCTGATATATATACAGCTGCTTCTGCTCTTTTTTGGTTTCTGTTTGCACAGAATATGTTTTTCTCTCCCCTTTTTTTCAATGTATGTGTGTCTTTATAGGTGAAGTGTGTTTCCTGTAGGCAACAGATTGTTGGGTCTTGTTTCTAAAATCCATTTAACTCTGTCTTTTGATTGGACAGTTTTTAGTCTCCTTACATTCAACGTTATTGATTAGTAAGGACTTCTGCCATTTGGTTATTTGTTTTCTGGTTGTTTTGTGGTCTTTTCTTTCCTCCTTTTCATACTCTCTGCCTGTTTTGTGAAGGTGATTTTCTCTAGTGACATCTTTTAATTTCTCTTTATTTTTTGTGTCTCTTTTGTATGTGTTTTGATTTGAGGTTAGCACGAGGCTTGCAAATAACCCATTCATTTAAACTGATGGCAGCTTAACACTGATTATTAAAACTAACGAAGAGAAAACTAATAAAAATGCCCATAATCCTAGCTACTCAGGAGGCTGAGGTGGGATGATCCCTTGAGCCCAGGAGTTTGAAGCTGCAATAAGCTATGATTGTGTCACTGTACTTCAGCCTAGCTGACAGGATAAAACCATGTCTCTTGAGAAAAAAAAAGGGCGAGTCACAGTGGCTCACACCTGTAATCCCAGCATTTTGGGAGGCCAAAGTATGTGGATTGCATGAGCCTAAGTTCATGTTCCTGGACAACATGGGGAGACCTGTCTCTACAAAAATATGAAAAAATTAGCTGGGCATGGTGGAGCACACCTGTAATTCCAGCTACTTGGGAGGCCAAGGTAGGGAGATAATTTGAGCCCAAGAGGTCAAGGCTGTGGTGAGCCAAGGTTGTACCACTGCACTCCAGCCTAGGGGAAAGAGCGAGACCCTGTCTCGGTTAAAAAAAAGAAAAAGAAAAAAGAGGGAGTATAGTCTTGAGTTAGTAGCTCCTGTCTTTGTCCCTTAAGTGTATTATTTTGTTTAATCTTCACAAAAAACCTGTATTACAGATAGAAAAATAATCATTTTATACCTAAAGAAAGTGAAGTTTACGAAGTTTAAATAATTTGCCCAAGATGACACAGCTTTGAAGTGTAAGAAAACACTACACCTTGGAATCATATCAGAGAAGTCATAGAATTGAAGGGAAAGTTGAAAAATGGGCAGAAAGGCATAGGATGTTAAGCAGCAGGGACCTCATGCAGAACCATATCACGGAATTGTCTGATTTGCACCACACTTGGCACTTCTACCACTGTATGCTCAGCAGGCTATTGGATCCTTGATGCCAGCATGGACAATTATTAACTATTGTTCATTGTTTATTAACTATTGTTTATTTTTATGTTTTTCAAGTGATAATCTAGTTGTGAAGTTACGTCTAGTTGTCTGGCCTAATTTTTTTTTCTCTTTTTTCTTTTTTTTTCTTTTTCTTTTTTTTTTTTTTTTGAGATAAAGTCTCACTCTGTCATCCAGGCTAGAGTGCAGTGGTGCAATCTCAGTTCATTGCAACCTCTGCTTCCTGGGTTCAAGCAAGTTTCCTGCCTCTGCCCCCTGAGTAGCTGGGATTACAGATGCCCACCACCAGCCTGACTAATTTTTTGTATTTTTAGTAGAGATGGGTTTTTGCCATGTTGGCCAGGCTGGTCTCGAACTCCTGACCTCAGGCGATCCACCTGCCTCATCCTCCCAAAGTGCTGGAGTTACAGATGTGAGCCACCACCCCTAGCCCTGTCTGGCCTCATTTCATGTGCTAGTGTTGTCCTAGGCAGAGAGTAGTATCTGGCCTTCTTGGCTTCTATAGTAGAGCGTTGAGCCATGCTTCCCACCAAGACTGATACAACCAAAGATTCAATGGAAGAGTATTTTGATGCTGGGCAACAATAATACAAAGGGTAAATGTCCACCTTAGCAGTGTGGGTATGCAGATGCCCATGTAGCATTCTGCTGAAGACTGGCTGAACTGAGAAGCTGTGCCTTTGCCGTAAGGCTGGCTATTTTTTCCTGAGACCAGACTCTACCAAACAGATCTCAGTAGGACTTCCAGGCAATATGCCAAGTACAGGAGTTTTCACATGAGGACCTCTGCCTATTTCTGATTCACTAAAATGGGGTAAATGACCAGCAAAACCAGTCAGCTCTTAGGGTCAATCTGAGGAGGGAGTATGTAGAAAATAGATGCACATGGAAAATGCACCTCCCTAACTTCTGGTCTTACTGGATCTTCAGTGTGGTATCCTAAGACCTTGAATTTCTATGTTATTGGGCAGTATTTCACTGCAGCTTTACCTGATTAACCAACCATATTAAACATTTTCTTGCAAGAGATACAGAATTATTTTGCTTGGCCGGGCGCGGTGGCTCAAGCCTGTAATCCCAGCACTTTGGGAGGCCGAGGCGGGTGGATCACGAGGTCAAGAGATCGAGACCATCCTGGTCAACATGGTGAAACCTCGTCTCTACTAAAAATACTAAAAATTAGCTGGGCATGGTGGTGGGTGCTTGTAATCCCAGCTACTCAGGAGGCTGAGGCAGGAGAATTGCCTGAACCCAGGAGGCGGAGGTTGCGGTGAGCCGAGATCGCGCCATTGCACTCCAGCCTGGGCAACAAGAGCGAAACTCCGTCTCAAAAAAAAAAAAAAAAAAAAAAAATTATTTTGCTTGCATTTCTTTGCTCTTCTACACTCTCTTCACCTTAAGTTTAGAGACCATATTACTTTTGTATCTTCAAGTCTAGTATTGTGTCTAGATACAGCAGAGACTTGAAAAAATATTTGATGGGCTGAATGAATGGATTTTCCTTAGCTATCTTATTATGAAGCTGAATTGATTCTTATGAAATGGTAGGGAATTAATAGTCATGGATGTTTGAAATATTTTATAATTTTTTTAGATTAGAAAATAATTGTAAATCTGCTGTGAGAAGAAGGACCACAGTGATATTTCCTCTGCTTTTGTTGTTACAGGTGTTCCAGGATTTAGGGATGGAAGTACTGTCGGGAGTTGCCAAAGGCTATAACATAAGCGTTTTCGCTTATGGACAGACAGGCTCTGGGAAGACATACACCATGCTGGGGACCCCAGTGAGTATTAAAATTAGATATATTCCTAATGCCACAGCAAGCCTTAACCTTCCATTGTCCTTACTACTGTGAGATAGAATATGATTTATGTAGTAGGTCAACTTTAAAGGAGATTTAATGAGTCTTCTGTTTTAAGAATGAGTTTTTCAGCATGTAATTGGAAGGTAAACTGAGTAATTAGCCCCTCCTTATTAAACCCTGAAGACCTTTAGAATTTTACAGCTCCCTTCAACAAAGCAGTTCTTCTCAGTCCTACTGATTTTCTTTTGTTACCTCCAGGTTCCTTACTTGAAGCTGTTTTACACCTTTGTTGTGGACAAGACCTGGACTAAATCTTTTCTTTTTTTTGAGACAGAGTCTCACTCTGTCACCAGGCACTAGGCTGAAGTGTAGTGGCACAATCTCGGCTCACTGCAACCTCCGCCTCCTGGGTTCGGGCAATTCTCCTGCCTCAGCCTTCCAAGTAGCTGGGACTACAGGTGCACGCCGCCACGCCCAGCTAATTTTTTGTATTTTTAGTAGAGACAGGGTTTCACCATGTTGGCCAGGATGGTCTCGATCTCTTGACCTTGTGATCCGCCCGCCTTGGCCTCCCAGAGTGCTGGGATTACAGGCTTGAGCCACCGCGCCTGGCCTGGACTAAATCTTAAGTTCAGGCTAGAGCTGTACAGAGATTCCATTATTGTGGCCAAGCTCCAAGCCTACATGTGTTAGATCTGTGTGTTAGAAGAAAGCAGGAGGGCTAGCTCCTGAGCCAGGGGCTTTCAAAAGTATGTAGGATTTAATGAGAGCCTTCCTTTATCATAGAAAATTAGGAGGGCAGAGTTCCTTAATAAGAATACCTTCTTGTTTTAGGTTTAGAAGTATCCTGGTGGGGGTGCCAGGTGCAGTGGCTCACATCTATAATCTCAACACTTTAGTGTCGCTGAGGCAGAAAGATACCTTAAGCCCAGGAGTTTGAGACCAGTATGGGCAACATAGGGAGTCCCCATCTCTATAAAAAATACAAAAACCATCTGGGCGTGGGGGCACATGCCTGTGTTCCCAACTAGTTAGGAGGCTGAGGTGGGAGGATGGCTTCAGCCTGGGAGCTTGAGGCCGCAATGATCAGCCAAGATCTTGCCATTGTACTCCAGCCAGAACAACAGAGTAAAAGACCCTGTCTCAGCTGGGTGCAGTGGCTCACTCCTGTAATCCCAGCACTTTGGGAGGCCAAGGTGAGCAGATTATGAGATCAGGAGTTCAAGACCAGCCTGGCCAACATGGTGAATCCCCATCTCTACTAAAAATACAAACATTAGCCAAACATGGTGTGTGCCTGTAATCCCAGCTACTTGGGAGACTCAGGCAGGAGAATCACTTGAACCCAGGAGGTGGAGGTTGCAGTGAGCTGAGATTGCACCATTGCACTCCAGCCTGGGCAATAGAGTGAGACTGTGTCTTAAAACAAAAACAAAAGCAAAAAAAAAAAACCTAAGAAACAAAACAAACAAACAAACAAACAAAAAACACTACACAGGGACATTCTATAGGATATGTTGCCTCCTAGATGATTATCCCTGATGCCTTGGGCCTAGCTCATTCCTTACTTTGTCTTGTGTTTAGTGTTATTTCACACTATTTGACTTTAAAAAAAGAAATTGGAGCCTGGGTGGCTCACACCTGTAATGCCAGCACTTTGACAGGCTGAGGTAGGAAGATCACCCAAGCTCAGGAGTTTGAGAGTAGCCTGGCAACATGGTGAAACCCCGTCTCTACTAAAAATATGAAAATTAGCTGGGCATGGTGGCACCCACCGGTACTCCCAGCTACTCAGGAAGCAGAGGCAGGAGAATTGCTTGAACTTGGGAGGTGGAGGTTGCAGTGAGCTGAGATCGCACTATTGCACTCCAGCCTGGGCAGTAAGAGTGAAACTCCATTTCAAAAATAATAGTAATAATAGTAATAAGAAATTGGCCACTAAACTGAAAGTACAAAGCCCTTAACCTGAGTCCAAGTTAGCACTGAATATAAGATGGGAAAAGAAACCACCTTTTTCTAAATATGTGTTTTTGTTGTTGTTTTTTGTGATGGAGTTTCACTCTGTTACCCATGCTGGAGTGCAGTGGCATGATCTCAGCTCACTGCAGCCTCTGCCTCCCAGGCTCAAGTGATCCTCCCACCTTAGCCTCCCAAGTAGCTGAGACCTAGGCACATACCAGCATGCCTGGCTAATTTTTTTGTATTTTTAGTAGAGATAGAGTCTCCCCATGTTGTCAAGGCTTGTCTTTAACTCGTGAGCTCAAGTGATCCACCTGCCTTGGCCTCCCAAAGTGCTGGGATTACAAGGGTGAGCCACTGCACCTGGTCTAAATGTGTATTTTGAATACTTTTGTACTCAACACCCCCGTAGGGATTGGAGGTATAGGGGGTTAAGGGGAACATTGGTAAAGTGTTTTTATCCAAGAATAATGTAACCTTCATTGTGTAAAAGCAGGTATCTGGGTTTACTTCCTTTTATGGTGATAATCTGCCTCTCATCTGGTACATTTCTCCCATGAATGTCTTTTGGAGCACTGGCACATAAAAGTCTTCTACATTCCCCAGTGAAATTGCCTGAAGTGAAGAGGCTAGGACAAGAAGTCCATGCACCTATCTCCCATGCTGAGGATGGTTCCTGGGTATTCTGTCGGGGAGACTATTACCTTGAGTAAACAATAATGCTTTCCTTTCTTCTGTTTTCCAGGCCTCTGTTGGGCTGACACCACGGATATGTGAGGTATAGACTATCTTTTGACTGGATCCTCTCAAAGTAGGTCTCTGTACAGTTCCTACAACAAAACCCCAACCCTCTGGTTTGTGCAGGGTCTCTTCGTCAGGGAGGAAGACTGTGCTTCACTGCCTTCCTCCTGTAGGATAAAAGTAAGGTAAGAACCTGACAACTTCTGGGACCTACAGTAGTTCTTTTTCCATTCCTAATTCTACCATGTTCAGCTGTCCTCTCTTTGCTTCCAGAGTTACCACAGGGATGGAGAAACCCACGGAAGAAATATCTTGCAGTACAGGAGCTGAGAAACATACTTAGGCCCTTGGTTGTAGAAAACTTAATTTCCTACCCATAGACTTAACAAGCAGGTCTTTCTTTCTGTGGCCAGCTTACCTTGGCTGTCTAGCCCTTCAGATGCCTTCACAGAACAATAGAGCTTAAGGGTCATGTTTGAAACTCACTCAAGAAACAATCTCTGTGGGCCAGTGCAGTGATTCTGGGAGGCAGAGGTTGCAGTGAGCCAAGATTGTACCACTTCAGCCTATGAGTCAGAGCAAGACTGTCTCGAAAGTAAATAAAGAAATACAATTTTTAAAAACTCTATTGTATATATATGGAAAGAGACTCAAGGGGGAACCCTGATTTGATCAGTGCCTTAGAGTGTCAGAGGTGGACCTGGGACAGGAACTAAGACCTCCTTATTTTTAGCCTAGTGTTTTTTCTACTTTTTTTCAAAGTAGAATTATGTTGCCTTTTCTATTTATCTCTAGTTTTCTAGAAATCTATAATGAACGAGTGCGGGATCTGTTGAAGCAATCTAGTCAAAAAAAATCCTATGCCCTGCGGGTCAGGGAGCATCCAGAGATGGGCCCATATGTACAAGGTGAGCTACTGTGGTCCTGGAGATTTGAAACCAAACTGAAGCCTGGGAAGCTCTCCTAATACTCACTAATTCATTGAACATATGTATAATTAACACTTACTGTGTGCCAACTATTATACTAGACACTGAGTAAGTATTGATAAATAGAAAAGACATGGTCCTGCTCTCACAGGCAAGCTTACAATCTGGTGGGTATGAATCAGAAAATGAACAATTACAAGCAGTGATAAAGACTAATAAAAAAATAAATAGATGTAGCAATGGCAAAGAACAGTGGAAGATATTGGTGACTCACCTGTATGGGGTGATCAGGAAGAGCTGCTCTGGGGAGGAAACATTTAAGCTGAGATTGAAGGGAGTACAGTCATGTGAAGGATGGTGTAGCAAGGTGAGAAGTGTTTCAGGAAGACGGAGTGGAATGAAATAGAGCCCTGAGAGAAGGTTTGGTGTTTTCAACGGGCCAGTGTGGCTAAAGCATGGTGAATGAGAGGGACAACTGTGGGGAATAAAGTGAGGTCTGCAGGCACCCGATCTGGCAGGGCCTCTAGTGGTTCCCTGGTAAACCAGTCCCCTTTCCATGGTACTTTTTCTGTCGGTGGTGGTAGTCAGTAGGGTAGGAAAGATAGGGCGATATCAGACATCTGACATGGGGTAGGATTTGATGTGTTTCCTAACCAAATAGTGATGTTTGGTGTTTGGTACCATCTGTCTTATATCATTAAGCTAGGTCCTGCTATTAAGTAGCAACAGTTGGGTTCTTTTATGGATGAAGTTTTTACCCTTCCAGGCCTCTTAACAACAAGTAATATATGGTCTGGCACGGTGCCTCATGCCTGTAATCCCAACGCTTTGGGAGGCTGAGGTGGGCGAATTGCGGGAGGTCAGGAGTTTGAGACCAGCCTGGCTAATATGGTGAAACCTTGTCTCTACTGAAATTACAAAATAACTGGGCATGGTGACATGTACCTGTAAATCCAGCTACTCGGTTGCAGCGAGCTGAGATTGCGCAATTGCCCTCCAGCCTGTGACAGTGAAACTCCTTCTCAAAAAAAAAAAAAAGTAATCTATGCATTTTATGTTCCTATAGCAATATATCAGTTTATTTTTTATTAATTTTTTTAGCCACAAGGTCTTACTGTGTCGCCCAAGCTGGAATGGAGTGATGCTGTCATAGTTCACTGCAACCTGAACTCCAGGGCTCAAGTGATCCTCCCACCGCAGTCTTCCAGGTAGCTAGGGCTACAGGCATACACCTAGGCAGCTAATTTTTATTTTTTTATTTTTATTTTTTTAAGGCAGAGTTTCGCTCTTATTACCCAGGCTGGAGTGCAATGGCATGATCTCGGCTCACTGCAACCTCCGCCTCCTGGGTTGAGGCAATTCTCCTGCCTCAGCCTCCCAAGTAGCTGGGATTACAGGCACGCGCCACCATGCCCAGCTAATTTTTGTATTTTTAGTAGAGACGGGGTTTCACCATATTGACCAGGATGGTCTTGATCTCTTGACCTCATGATTCACCCACCTCGGCCTCCCAAAGTGCTGGGATTACAGGCGTGAGCCACCGCCCCTGGCCTAGGCAGCTAATTTTTAAATCGGCTATAGAGATGGGTTCTCACTATGTTGCGCAGGCTGGTCTTGAACTTCTGGCCTCAGGCGATCCTCCCACCTCAGCTTCCTAAAGTGCTAAAATTATAGGGGTGAGCCAGTGCACCTGGCTATAGTATGCTAATTTAGATCCTAATAAGGAGCAGGACATGAAAGATCAAGAGCCAGTTTTCTCTGGTCAGGACATGGCAAATGGATGATATAATAGGTATGCCAGTGACTGATTCTGCTACCTTTGTCTTTTCCCAAATGTTTTATCATAAATGGCAGCAGAGAAACAACAACAAAAATACCATTTCCTTTGCTAGGTACCAATTTAAGTTTGCTCTGTAAAACTCTGTGGGTATATGCATCTGTGTAAAGCAATACTTTCATGGCAGACCATGAGTCGATGCAGTGATGTCAGACTTCTTAAAAGTCTGTGTGTGTATATGTGGGAGGAGCAATAAGAGGAGACCTCAGACATAGTTCAAATATCTGCTTTATATAGAAAAACATTGAAATCTGGAAAATGTTGAGGGTCCCAAAGCCACACAGCTATAGAGTTGAATGGAACAGAATCCTATATATCAAGGGCCTGGATGGAGACCTGGGATCATAGATTCTTTGATTGGTGTACTACCTGCAACCCAGAGAAAATATGACTCTTGCAAGGTCATACAGCTTGGGTCATATATCCAGTGTCAGTGACAGGATCAGGACTAAAAGGTTCATGGAGCAAAGATCCAGGGTAGTTTTGGATACCTTTATGGAATGAACCCTTGAGGGGAGGGAGGTAGGAAATACTGAATTTTAAACTGGTGAAAAATCTCTTAGATACTTTGTTACAAGTTTCTTGAAGCTGCTCTGAACTTTCTCAAACCATTACAAATACAGGTGAACATTTCTTAGTGAAGGAGTCATGAGCCGAAATAGTATAGAACCAGCCTTGGAAGTTAGGATCCTGAAGAGTCACACTGAACTATTTTAGTCCCTTCACTACCCTCTGATGACATTTTAATAATTTTTTTATTTTTTAATGTTTTCTTTCTTTATTGATATACTTATCTGTCTACCTGCCCATCTGTCTTAAGGCTCATCCATTCTGTGAATATGACTTTAAAGTGGAAAGTTGTTTCTGGTTTGAAACCAATTATACAGAAATTTACTGAGTACCTACAAAATGCCTATGCTATTCTGGGTGCCATGGGAACTATGAAAATATAAGGCCCTTAAAGAACTTGCAGTTCCAATTCAGAATTGTGAGATGGACCTTTATAGCTACCTAAATCCAAAGAAAGGAAAGGAGTAGCCTTTCCATTAAAAAGTTTATTAATTAGATGCAAGATTGAGTTGAAATATGAAAAGCACAAGGCCCTGGCCAAAGGACCCATAAGAGGCCCATGGTTATAGGATCTAAACTGATATCTAAGTGAGACAAAGACAATATTGTATGTTTGCTGTGTCCTTTATTTTAATATAATGGTATAGGTGCAAAGCAAGAGTTAGGTAGTTGGGACTCTGAAAAAAATTCTGTATTTACTATGTACTCAATCTATAAGTCACAGGAGTTTTCCCCCACCCCAAACATGTAATTCTTGTGCCTTTTTTTTCCTTTCTTTTCTGCATGAACTAGGACCTCTAGTACAATAGTAAATAAAAGTGGTGACAATCTCGTTCCCAGAGGAAAGCTTCACCATTTTACCATTAAGTAACGTATTTGCAATAGTGGTTGTCTTTAATAATATTCTATATGCTTCTCAAACTGTGGTGAAGGACCAGTTTTTTTGTGGTGGTGGGTTTTTTTGGGATCAGAGTCTCACTCTGTCACCCAGGCTGGAGTGCAGTGGCACAATCGTGACTCACTGCAGCCTCAAACTCACAGACTCAGGCAGCCCTCCTTCCTCAGCCTCCCAAGTAGCTGATACTACAGACATGTGCCATTATGCCCAACTAACTGTTTTTTATTTTAGACGTGGGGTCTCGCTATATTGCCCAGGCTAGAAGAACCAGTGTTTTTTTTTAAATTTTTTTTTTTTTTTTTAAAGATGGGGTTTCACCATGTTGGTCAGGCTGGTCTTGAACAGCCGACCTCAGGTGATCCGCCTGCCTTGGCCACCAAAGTGCTTGGATTACAGGCATGAGCTACTATGCCCAGTCAGTTTTGTTTTTTTTTTTTAATTCCAATCTTTGGTATACTAATACATATATAAAATAAAATAAGGATGAATTACTAGAAAAATGAAACCAGTACCTTAATTACAATCCCAAAATCTTCTGTACTAGATTCAACAGATATAAAATTACTCTATCAAAGTTAGCCTTTTATTGTTTTTGTTTTTTTGAGACAGAGTCTTGCTCTGTCACCCAGGCTAGAGTGCAGTGGTGGAATCTTGGCTCACTGTAACCTCTGCCTCCTGGGTTCAAGTGATTCTCCTGCCTCAGCCTCCCAAGTAGCTGGGACTACAGGCACATGTAGCTGCGCCTGACTAATTTCTGTATTTTTAGTAGAGACGGGGTTTCACCATGTTGGCCAGGCTGGGTCTTGAACACCTGGTCTCAGGTGATCCACCCGCTTTGGCCTCCCAAAGTGCTGGAATTCTAGGCATGAGCCACTGCACTCAGCCTTTTTTTATTGTTATGAAGCATTCTAACACTCTCAGTTTCCATACTGTCTTCTCATTGCCTATCAGGTAACAAATTTGAGAACAGGCCCCAGTCTGTAGATGAGCAACACTGCCTTAGCCAATTAAGAAAATTCTTTTCTCCTTAGTTTTCTCAGTTTCTATTTTTAAATTTTAAACAAATCAAACTTATGAAAAAGTTGCAAGTACAGTATAAAAAACTTTTTTTTCCTGAACCATTTGAGAATAAATTTCAGACCTGATGACCTGCCTCTCCTGAGCAATGTAGAATGTTTTTTCCTACAAACAGTAATAATCTACATGATTCCAACACAACCAACAAAACCAGGAACTTAGCTTTGGCACATTATTTCTATCTAATCCTTAGATCTCATTTAAATTTTACTAATTGTTCTGATAATTGTCCAGTTAAAGTTAGGGGTTGCATTTAGTTAGGGTATCTCTTTAGTAACTTTCAGTCTGGAAGAGTTCCTCAGTGTCTCCTTGACTTTCATGAACTTAAAAACTTCTTCATGAGGCACACTTATTTGTCTATTACTCTTGATTTTTCATTTCATCTCTTAAGGTGATGTCTGCCAGGGTTCTTCACTTTGAAGTTATTGTTTTTCCTTTGTAATCGTCAAGTATTTTGTGGGACACTACCTTTGAAACAATGTAAATATCTTATCCTCATCAAACTTTCAATATATAAGTTATGTTAGTATGGATTCATTTGGTCTTACTTTACTCAATGGATTACTTTCAGTTACTATTATTTATTATTTTGAGGCT